GAATACATTAAAAAAAAAAAAAGCACAGGCAGTCACACTGTGAATCTTCCAGACAACCCTGGCACGAAAAAGTTTGCAATGCATCTTTCCTGCTTCTTTTTTGTGGATTGCGATACCTGTTTAAGAATGGCGTTTTTTTTCCCCCACCTTGGGAAAAATGCAGAAGCGTAACTTCCAAGTGTGTCACCTGTCCACCTTCTAATCTCTTTTACTCACCACTTCTGATTACCGGGAGCTCCAAGTAGCTCTTCCATATCACCAGCTATTAACGGAGAGGCCAAATTGAAATCTCCCCAAACGGGATGAAGTCCCACTATTTGTTTATACACGACACGTCTTTGCCTGAGCCTTTAATTATTGTTCCTCAGAGCACTTAACTGGAAGGTCAGCAACGGTGGCTGTCATTTGATAAATGGCAGGGAGATGAAGTGGGTGAACAGAATTCTTTATTAGACATGACCATTTACAAGGAAGTGATTAAACAAGAGAAGAGAGGCATCATGAGGGAAAATGTGCTGAATTTATTTTTCCTCCTGTTTAATATTAGCATCAAGAATAATAGCGTAACGCTGTGCAAATTGGCCAAGCGGCCATTAACTCTTCCGGCTAACTGCCATTTAATGTTTGTTTTGCAAAAAAACGGCAACAAGAGGGGGGTTTAAAAAGCTGGTGGGAATGTGACAAGTTTGCTTTTTTAAATTATTCAGGTAGGTTTGGGTGCCAAAATGTTCCTCGAGAAGTTCTCAGCTCTAGATAATATAATCCAAATGATCATGTAGGCCTTCCTTCCATGCTTAAGAAACCTGGTTTCTTTCACCTTTCATCTTAGTCAAATGCTGGTTTGCAGCATGAGCAGCAATGAATGAAAGGTTTATTCTTAATCGGATCAAAAGGAATTCTCCTTCTTTTAATCTTCAAGACGGATCTCCACCAAGATCTAACTGTTTTCATATGCTCTGTTGAGAATTGTTAAAAAAAAACACATCAGGAGACTTGCTAATTACAAAGTCAGTGTTAATTCTTGAATTATGGCAGCAAATGCATTTTAATAATAACGCTTACGTAAGTAATGACCATAAGAAAGGCTGAGCACCAAAGAATGGAGGCCTTTGAACTCTGGTGCTGGAAAAGACTCCTGCATTGAGTCCCTTGNCCCCCTGGTCTCCTCCATCAAATAACCCTCATTATTTCTGCTTCTTTCATTTCCCCCCTCATTGTTTTTTTTAAGTGGCTGAATGTTTTCTGTGTGTGGAATCGAAATTTAAAAGCTATTTAAGGTCAGGGTGTTTTGATTAAGCATGGAAGAAATCAGCCAGGAGTCAACACAGCTGTTCATTTGATCAATGGGATAAGCTGTGCTGTAGGTCTGCCAGTAACGGGGGTGGGGGTGGGGATCACACACATTCATATGTACAGTGGAATAGAAGGATGGGTATAGAAAGCGATGCAAAACCGCTCTCAGAAAAAAATGGAATTACCAAAGGTTTAATGAGAAAGTCAGAGCTGCTTTTTTCACTTGACTAAACAATTTTTGGCCGTAGCCAGATTAGGCATTGTATATGCATAACAGGTTCTTGCTCATTTTTAATAATACCTACAATTAATATGAAATAGTATAACATTTATAATTCTAAAGCAAGCTGCACTTGGTACTGCGGTATTGTTGCAGCTATGGGGATTAGCTGAAAAACTCTCCCTTTTAAAGTAATAATTAAGGTATTTAAGTTTTGCTAACATATAATATATAGGTTCGTTTGTTCCCAATGAAAACACAGAGGTTCCCCCCCCCCTTTTAGTCCTTGATTAATTTGTTTCCTCTCCTTGAAACATTTATTTTGTTGAACAAAGTGTGCATGGAAAACTAATCCAAGTTTGCAATATTTATTTGAATAAATATGCTACTATGAATATTAAAGTTCTATTATTTATTTGTAATTGTGTGCAACAAGCCAAGATACGGTTGGCGTTTTTACATGCAGGGAATTGCATTTATTCATTGGGATGAAATGATTACAGATTGTTTGCTTCTGGCATAAGACAGTTTGGCTAAATTTGGCTCTAATCTTGCCTTGTTGGCAAGCAGCACAACAGAATACCTCACTGCTGTATCTTTTTCTTTTCTTTTTTTGCCAAGTAACTACAGTATGGCTCAAACGCTGCTTATAATCCCTGCCAGTTACAATCAGCGACAAAGTAATAATTGATTAGAGTAGAAGAAGATTTGCACTGCGGCCCAAAAAGTAATAAAAATGATCCCCCAGCTTAAGTTTATAATGCATTTTAGTTAATACAAAGTAAATTATTCATTGCTAATAAATACTTTCATAATTTATATAGAAAGCTTGAGGGTTAAGGCTGAAAAAGAGAATAACCGAGATTTTTTTACGCTGTTACGCTTTGCTGTTCCCATTATTAATCATGATCTGTCATCAATGTATGATGTGTTTGATAATCCAGACTATTCGAACCTCTGCATGATTCATGTGTAGTTTTGTATAATGTAGAACAATTTATTAATATGTAAGCTGTGCTGGAAAGATGAAAAGCGATATATCTTATTTGGCATTTCCAAAACAAGATTTACATTCAAGGAAGACAATAATGTTGCAAAGGAAACTGGCATTTTGTTCCGTGCTTTTATCATGCCTCCCACCCCCACCCCCCAAAAAAGAAATCAACGTAGCATATGTAATTTCCCCCATGTTATCTTTATCAACAACTTTGCCCGATACGATGCATTTGAGAGCAAATGACTCTTCCAGCATCACCCAGGCAGCTTCACGGTTAAATGCTGAATTTAGGCCTGGTTTTCCAACCACAATCCAAAATATTATCCTCTGTGGCATCTCGGTGGGAATTGGTGACACGCAAATAGGGCTGTTGCTGTGGATTGCAGGCAGTCCTTGACTTATCACAATCCATTTTAGCGACCGTTGAAAAGGCACTGAAAAATGTGACTT